TACACTGGAGCTCTGGATGATCAGGTCCTGGGATAAAAAAATCTTTGGATTCCAATATGACACCTTGTCCGTAGTTCCTGTTCACGACTTGGTAAAGTACTGGCAGGACTCCCTGACGGGAGGGAGGATACAGTAGTGTGCAAGGAGTGCCGGATGGAGTTCGTGGCAGGGACGATAAGTCGTCGGAGTCATCGCGGAAACGGTGGTCCAAAAGTTCCATGGTGAGCTGTTCTGCGTGCTGACGGAAGGCGATGATGTCCTGGATCGAAGGCACTTCCAGAAGAGGCACTCTATTGGTTGGTGACGGATTTCCCACGAATCGACGCGGGAAAAGGGAGCGAACGAATCGGGAGGCCATGTACCCGTGCGAAGGGATCTGGCGATAAACGTGGAGTGGAGCCTCCGAGGTGACTGTGTCTTCCGTGAGTCCAGTGAAGTTCGGGCGGGGGTCGATGTGTGAAGCCCACGGATGCATATGAGAAAACTGGTTCGTGTAGTTTGGCGGAGTGTCGGCATATCGCGGCGAGTGGGCTGGGTGGGGCTGGATGCCCTGAAGCGATTGGCGAGCTACACTTTGTTCGACAAGACGAGGTCGTTTCATAGGAGCTGCACTGTCTGCTGGAGCAGCTGATGGTGGCGGAGGCGTCTGACGGCTTGACGACGGTGCCTCACGGTATGCTGTGAAAGCGTCTGCACGGCGGCAGCTCTGGACAGAAGTCGATGGCGTGGCGGATGTTTCATCGGTTTGGGACTTGCGGCTGCTCGTGGTCAAAGATAGGTGTTGAAGACTTGTCGACGGCACTGGAAGAGACGTTAGGCTAGGGGTGGTATCTGTTAGTGAATAGTCGTCGAAAGACAAACCTGACGGCCGTGAGGGTTCGGCGGACGAACTTGGGCGAGCCTTCGCGGAGGTTGCGGTGTCTGCTTTCGTATCGGACGTCGTGCCCTGATCGGGAGGCGACGGCGAAGATGTCGAAACTACATTACGGTTTGTGTCGGAAGCGTGGGCAGGAGCCCGAGTGTTGGCGGGGCCTACGTGGCGGCGTTCTGGAAGTGTGATAGAGAATTCGTAGTCTGGAGCCAGCGTGAAATCGAAGAGTAACTCACCGGCACCCCCGTCGGGTTGCGCTTCAGAGGATTGACGGAAGTGACGGCCAGGTGACTCTGCGGCGTTGCCGTTTGCGTCGGCGGATGCGAGGCCCTCAGTTGGACGGTTCATTCTATAACGAAGGCGGTAGTATTCGTGTTAACGGTATCCGGCGGCGCGAGTATTCAAGCGAGGGCCATGCCCAATAAACGAGGAAAAGGTCATAATAGATAGATGGGACGGTGTAGAAGAATGAGAGAAAAATGAGAGGAGGGGGATATAAAAGAGCGTAGAGGTAAAAAAAATGGTTGGCGGTCCTCGAGATGATCCATTGGTTCAGCATGAAGAGAGACGGCACCTGAAACGTGTATTCTGCGGACGCGTGATTACTGGTTTTTGTAATACAGTATCAAATTGGGTTCGATGTGGTGCGATGTGAGAATATCCGGGGATAGATGTCAGCTGCGCTTTCACTGAGGATAGCGCATTGACTTCTGGTTCTTCTTGGGCTTGGATTGTGGAGATGTGATACTCTCAATGGTGATATGGGGGTGATTGACAGCGATCACCCGGAATTGTTCGGTCCAAGGGCAACACAGCTTAGGCGATAAACCCGGTTTGGGAGCTAGATCGCGTAAGTAGACGCGGTCTCCTACCTTCATATCAAGAGGGGGCAAGTGGTGCTTGTCATATTGGCGTTTCATATCTGCGCTGCGCTTGCGGTTAAATTCGGCGGCTAGAGCCCATGCTGAGTGTAGGGCTTCCACCAGGGAGCTTTTGTACAGGGAGGGATCCATGTCCGATGGGACATGTCTCTCGGTTTTGTACCTGATTAGTAGATCGATGTTAAGGACGGATCCCGGCCAAACACTAGGAAGAAGGGAGACTCGCCGGTGCTGCCATGGATAGAAGTATTGTAGGCGAGTACGCACGCTGGTAAAAGAGGTCCTTGTCGGATTGGTTTGCCCGGATGTAAGTTCGTAGCATTTCTTGGAATGTGGCAAAGACTCGTTCGCAGACTCCGTTCCCCTCGTGGTGGTATGGGGTGGTGAAGTATCGTCCTATGAGCAAGAGCCGGCCGAGTTCTGTGAGGAGGTCACCCTTGAAATAGGAGGCGTTGTCGGTTATCAAGGTGGTCATAGCGCCGAAAACCAAAATGCAGTGGTTCATAATAGCGTGCGCGACCGTTACTGCTGTGCAGTCCGGTAGGGGTGCGGCAATGACGAATCTCGAAAAGTGATCGATAAGGCAGATGATGTATTTGTTGTGCCTGGGGGTTGGATGGTATGGGCCGCTGAGGTCCAAGTAGACCTTGTCGAAAATTGCGCCTGCGTGGATAGGGATGAGGATCTCGCGAGCCGTAGGATGGGGTCGTTTGCGTTGACATGCCTTGCATGAACAGACAAACCTATAAACGTCTTCCTTAAGGGTGGGCCAGAAAAAACGGCGTGTTATTTTGGCCAATGTTTTCTTCCATCCGAAATGGCCTCCTGCTGTAGGACTGTCGTAGAGGGCCACGCAAATGGGCTCGCGTAATTTAGTTGGGACGAAGATTGCAGCAGAAGAGGGAGAACGAAGTGGGTCGACAAAATAGAGGCACCCGTTGTTCTTAAGAAGGCATCTGTCCGCTAGATCCCGAGCGGTATCCTGTATTTCCGGTGGTGTGCGATCAGGAAAGGATCCCGTCTCTAGAAAATGCATTATGGCGCTGCATAGGGGGTCTTCTTTTTGGGCGAGCAGGGCATCGTACGGACGAACGAAGAGTGGTGGAGTCAACGGTGGTTCCGTTGCTGATCGGGGGGCGTGAGGCTGCTCTATGCGCTGTAGGAGACATCGAGGGAATTCTACAATGTCTTCGCTTTCAGATGTGCCGTCCGTGAAGTGATTAGTCGGGTCAGAATTGCGACTGAGGTGGTCCGCAAGTACGTTTGACGATCCCTTCTGGTACTCAATAGTGATGTCGAAACTTTGTAGCTTTACCACCCAGCGAGCCATGTGGTCCTGCGGCTTTCTGTGGCGGAGAAGGAACGGTAGAGGTTGATGGTCACAGAGTACGCGCGTATGATTTCCGTATATGGTTGCGCGGAAGAAACGAAGGGCGCTAATCATGGCAAAGAGCTCGATGTAGGTTGGGCTCCATTTTTGTTGAGAAGGGGACAAGGTCTTGCTAAAGTATCCGATCACCTTCGGTAGCAAATCGGGGTCCTGTTGCTGGAGGAGGGCCGCTCCCACCGCTACCTTACTGCCATCCGTATGGAGGATAAATTTCTTGTCCTGGGGAAATGCTGAGCACGGGCGGCTGGTCAAAACTTCTTTTAACCGAGCGAATGCAGTAGCTTGAGGTGTGTCCCACTTGAATGAGGTTTTATCTTTGCAGAGCGCGTAAAATGGTGCTGCGATTAAAGCAAAGTCCTTCGCGAATTTACGAAAGAAGTTGACCATACCCAGGAAGCTTTTGACTGCACCGATGTGGGTGCCGGTAAGTTTCGAATAGCGGAGAGGTTACGTTCAGCTGGACTATATAATGATCCTGAGATCTCGTGTCCGAGGAAGGTTATTTTAGACTGGGCAATGCTTGTTAATTTCTTCCCGGATACTTTAATATTAAACGTGCGGAAGCGGTCCAACACCTTGCGCAAAGAACAAAGATGTGTGTCAAAATCATTATCGAACACGATTATGTCGTCTAGGTATGCCAGACAATTATCGTCTAGGCCGGCCAGGGTTCGTGACATAGCCCTGCAAAAGTATGCGCCGGCGTTGCGTGAGCTAAAAGGGAGGTATACAAATTGGTTAACCCCTCGGTGAGTGGCCCAGCCGCACTTTGCTTGGCTTTCCGGGGAGAGCAGCAACTGCATGTATCCTGACGCGAGGTCGAAAGAGGTGTAGAAACGTTTTCCTGCTACGCGCTCCAAGAGATCTTCGATTCGCGGGAGGGGGTAGCGGTCTGGTATGGTGATCTTGTTCAAAGGGCGAAAATCAAGGCATACGCGAAGTGACCCATCCTTTTTCTGACTAACACCGTATTGTGCAGCCATGGGGTGTCGCTTTCGACGATTCGGCCGGACTGGAGAAGTTTGTTAATGTGATCATCCAATTCTTTTTGGAAACGGGCGGGGATGTGGGTAGGGCGATATCTTGAAGGCGGGATCTCCGTCGTTGTCTTGATAGTAATGCGAGTATGGTCGTACGAGCCGACGGACATGGAAATACGATCTTTATACTCATAGAAGAGGTTATAAAGTTGCTGTCGTTGTGCCGAGGTGACCTCAGCTCGTGACAAGTCGAGGTAGAATGGCGTTTCGTCCGACTGTGTATTCGTGGGTGGCCCCGCCACCATGTTAGCCGTGCTAAAAGCGCCGGTGTAGTTCGAGTATTGTCCCATTGGGAAGCTCCAGAACGGGTCGTGCCGAGGTAACGTACTGATCTTTATAAATCACTATCGGTGTGTCTGTGGGTTTGCTGATAAACAGCTGGGGGGGGTGGATGTGTGATATCGATGGAGCAACCATAACGTGGTCTTGATTGAGTACTGATCCGTCGACCAACACCGTAGCGTAGTTGGGGTCGATGTTAGCGACGTAGCACGAAACGAAGATTTCCGAACCTGGGGGTAGAACCGTCGTGGTGGCCACGTGTACTGCGTACGAAGGTGGTTCTTGTGTTGAGTCGGCGGACGAGTGGGGGGTCGAGGTGAGAATTGGAATCGGTTCTCCACCAATCAGGAAAGTTCGTTGTGCATAATTGAGTGCCTAAAGCTGGAGGCGCTGTAGCAAGTCGTTGCCCAGAACAACGTTGTAGGCATCAACTGCGCGGGGATGCAGTCCGATTCCGTGAAGTGCACGTCGTGACTAATAGAGTGGGAGCCTACTTGGAAGGACAATGTCGCGCTACCTACGAATTTGACAGGGATTCCGGCTATGCCTATCGCTGCTGGGACTTGACATGGCCTAAGATGAAAGATACCTAACAGGGGTAAAATAGACTGACTCGCTACCGTGACAACAGCGCCAGTATCTATGAGGGCCAGCATGTGTACCCCGTTGGCCCGTACGGGAATCTGTGCAACGAAATAACATTGGGGAGAGTCTGGAGAAAGGACATTAGCGGAAACCATCGAGGCGCGTGGCGGCCATACAGTTGAAGCGTCTATTTCTATCTGAAAGATATCCAATTGCAACGGTGGTCGTGGGGAAGCCATTGCGGTACCCGAATTGAGAACAGGGAGTGGAGTACTAGCTGCTAAAGGAGGCGACATAAATCGCGTCGAGGTTAAGCCGTGAGTTTGTTGGGCCCAGGGGGTAGACTACAATCTGATATAAAGGAAAAAATTGATTCAGCGACAGTCAACGTGACTACCGTGCAACACAGCGAAACCCAAAGATTGAAATATGAAACCGAAGAAAAGAAAAGAAATGGACTAGCCGTACTCATAGAAGATGTATCGTCCGGATGATGAGGAGTGGAGTCAACACGGGAGATGTGTTCGAGAAGTCGCTCGTGGTTCCGTGCCGTCCATAGCTCCTGCAGTTGTTGGTTGCCCGTCATCTCACTGAAATAAGTTAAAATAAGGTTATGAAAAATTGTGAGTGAGGGAGAAAATTGAGCTGGCGTGAAGCGCGACGGAGAAGGAAGTTTCACTGCATTCCTCGAAGAAATGGTGGTCCCATGAACCATCGAGGGGATTGCATCTGTCGATACCACCCTGAGAGGGGAAGAAAAAACGACGGAATCTGAGCATTCTGTGGTAGTCGCATGCTTACGGATAATTCCTGTGGCGGGATCGAGGAACGCGCGTAACCTAGCACCGCTTGGGAGATGAAGCTCTTCCTGGGGAAAGTCGAAGCAGGTGTTGTTAAAAGGGAGAATTCGCAAAGCGGGAGGTGGAAGGGCGACGCAACGCCGGACCTCCAAATAACCGTTCCCCAAGTAAACGGCCGTGAAGTCGTTGCGGCCGAGAAGGGCGCGCGTGGTGGACGTTGGGTGGGAGCGCATCGCTGTGTGTATGGCTATCCCTAAAGCGTTAGTCCTCTCGCAGATAGATAGAAGGGCATTGCGGAACAACCCGCTTACGGCTGAATAGCTAGCGCCCTCGACGGCTAAGAGCTGGGCTGCGAGTTGATTAGAAGTAACAAGGAATACCTGGTCCAATGCGTTACGCGGGTTTCTTCGAGAAACGTAAATGGCATAACCCTGATCTGTGATTATAAGTTGCTTCGTGCAATCCGAGATGGTTGAGGAGTTTTCGGTCCAGGAGAGGGCAAACTCTTTGTTGATGTCCAGATGTCCCCTAACGCTGAGCCCGACATTTTAGCAACTAGGGAGTATGCACACTGTTCCTCTGGTAGTGGGGTCCAGAGAAGGGCGGAGCCGTCGGGCAGTGTACAGGTTCCCTCCTTGTATGAGCAAGCTGAAAGATCTCCCACTGGGGCTAGAGGCGACTTATCGCCGTGGCGGGATTAGACTGTGGTGGAAAAGGAGTAGCAGTAAGTAATAGTGACCGAGTGCTCTGTGCAACATCCAAAGGGAGCAGAAGGAAAGTTGAACGAGAGTAAATTTTGTGTTCGCCATATTCCATCCGTCTCGACAAGAGAGCCATAAAGGCATCTATGGTGAAATGCCATCTACTTGCATTCTTCTGCCGAGACTGCCAAGTGGGTCTCGGTGTGACGCTCATTGCGAGCCCCCGAAGAAGTTGACCGAATACGTAACCGTGTAACGGACGATTTTACAGAATGAGGCCGGTGAGGAATAAAGCTTCGTATTGGGCCGGTAGACGTGAAGAGTAATTCGATGTGGTGGTGTAAGTTGAGTGGGCAGGAGCCCGGAGCAATTTTGGGGGCCCGGTAGTAGGAACAAAGTAGACGGGCTTTTTGAAGGGCATAACCAGGCCGCGTGAGCCGTGCCAGGCTCTGAAAGGTAAGCGAGAGAAAGCACTAAACAGAACAGCAGGCGGACGTCCGGAAGAGAAGTGGTGGCCGATCGAGATGGTATACGCGAAGGTGGGTTAGTTACTGTTGTTCGAGCCCGTGCTAACTCTTCGTTTCGACGGAGCAAAGCCTCTATGCATGCCCGAGAGTTTTCGAGTTGGAGACGAGAGTCGTTGAGGGAGGCCGTAAGCTGGGCGATGCTGGTATGGGAGTTGTTGTAGCCCGTGGTCGGTTGCGCAGGCCGACGGGAGGGTCGCAGCACAGGATGTTACCCTGAAGAGGTCGAGGTAGGGTTCCGTTCTCGAAGTTGTTTCTGCGAGCTGCAGGTGGCCTAGCCACTGCGCGCGGTTGCAAACGGAGACCTGGGGTGTGTGAACGACGTGCTGAAAGGCAAGAAAATGCGAAGTGTCCGATACCGTTGCAACTGTAACAGCGGATTTCCTCCGTGGCCCGGGGAGCCCGTGATTGAGATGGTAGCTGTTGGCGCCACGGGGAGGCCTGTGGGGCCATCCGAGGTCTGAAAGGATTGCTCTGTGGTGCTTGCTTGTGCGATTGTGGCGGGCCTTTGCGAGAAGGTCGGGACATCACCTGAACCGTTGCCGGTGTCGATGCCGGGTGGAGCAAGCGTTCTGCCGTTGCTTCGCTCAACAGCTGTTCTACTGTTTGTGCCTTAGTAACGGCTTGTTCGAAGATGGACGGGTTGTCCAACTTGACGAAGTAACGCACGTCACTGCGTAGGCGGGCGACAAATTCTTCCAACACACGATCCTTCTGAGTCGCAGGGTCCTGGCCCGATGTAGCAGCGCGAACTAGGTGAAGGACCCGATTGGCGAATGTTGTGCATGATTCGCCGGGTTCCTGATGGCAGGCTGATAGTTTCTGCCGAGCAACATAACGCTGCTGCGGACTCTCGAAAAATGCGGTAAGGTGGGAGACTACCGCCGAATAGGAGCGTTTAGCGTCGGAGTCGAGTTCCTCTACCTTCAAGATGAGCCAAATCCAAAAAGAGTCGTCCGCGCACCAAGCACTTCCGAGCAATTGATCTCCTGTTTTTTTGGAAAAACTGGACATGTCGCGACCGTACCACTAAAACAAGCGGAACAGTCAATTCTGAGTGGTATACCACCATTTGTTTGCCAGTTGACTTCCAAAAAATCAGGGAAACCAACTGCTGAAGACGGGTCACTCTTCACCACGACGATGAGAGCTCCCACGCATAGGCTCAAACAATTGCATTTTTGAGCATTCAAAACAACGATTTGACAGGTCATCAGCCATGTGGTCCCCGGGTGGTTTCTTCTCATCCCGTACGTAAAAAATGAGAGGTCAACGTTTTTCGACACCTGAAGAAGCCGTTGATGCGTTCAGAATCCATGTTTTAGAGTTACCTTGATCAGAGTGGCAAGAGTGCTCCAAAAACTGGTTCGAGCTCATGCAAAAGTGTATAGATCTTAATGTGGAGAATTTTGAAAGGCAGTCAAGCGATTTTCAGTAAATAGTATTTGTTCCTGTTCTCAAATCCCGAAATATAAAAGACAACCTATCAGAGGGGTATCGTGAATCGTGCCTTTATTCCTCCTCTATCTTCCAGCCACTTTTTCCAAGTGCTTGAAACATTTTGAGCAGTGTTATAAAATTTTATCTCGTTATGCACACCTCAGCGTAATGCCCGCCCACTTCAAGGATTTGGTCACATTTCTTCTAATCTTCAACCACTCCTTCGAACGATGTAATAGAGCGTTTTTGAGCCAGTTGTGAATTTTTGATCTCGCTCACCGCCACAATGTGATCCATGCCCACTTCAGGGCCTTGGCCACGTCTCTTTTTGCAAAACTCCAACCGTTTTTTCCTGTGCTCTGAAGGCTGTTGAAGTGAAGTTTGAATTTCTGGTCGTAATCCTAATTAATAATCACAAACCCCGCCCATTTCAGAGGTTTGGCCACATTTCTTCGAAAGGCTCTCCACACCTTGTTCCGCAATGTAAGACCTTTTTTGAGCAGAGTTATGATTTTTTAACATCATCCCGCCCACCTCATTGTAATCACACCCACTCATAGATTCGGCCACTTTTCCTCTTGAAACTCCACCACTTCTTCCCACGACGTTAA